TAGATATTATAACTACTCCAATTTGTTGGTCAACCCTTTATACCATAGTTTTAAAAACCAGATCAGTGACTAAACCAGTGAAGTTGTCGGTTCATATTTTCATCAATTGATTGGACCGCCGGTTCAGCGGTTCATCATCTGGTTTTTTAAGGCCACGCACGTATTGAGACGGCCCACTTTCGCTGGTTTTTATCCAATCCAATGTGATTTTGATGCGTTTACGGCGCCGCTATGTCTAGCTTTTAGCGAGACAGTAGCTCGAGGGATCCCGTAGTCGCCCTGCCAATAGGGAGTCTTGCACTGTTTCGTTTGCTTGCGTTTGATTTTTATATACATTTTATATTTCTAAATATTTTTGAGTAATAGTTTATTTATTTATTTTATTTTATTTACTTTTAAAAATGTTGATCAGCATTAAAAAGTCTTGATGTAATGTAAAAAAGTTGTTTGCATAGTTTGTAGAAAATGTTCACAATATTCAAAAATTAATTTTCATATTTGAAAGATGTTCATATGTTTAAACATAAGTTCGTGGCATTTTAAAAAATAATTCATACAATGTCAAAATTTGTTTGTGCAATCTTCAGGAAATATTTCGTACCATTCAAAAAAGGTTCATGAGTTTGAAGAAAATTTCCGTAGCACTTAAAAACTGTTTGCACAACTAAAAATAATATTCATGGCATTTATGAAAAATGGTCATTGTGTGTTTAAGAAAATTTCACATTCTATTTTGAAGATGTTTAATGTACATTTGACAAATGTTCAAGGTGTATTTAAAAAAGTATTCAAATTGTATTTGGAAAATGTTTAACGTATATCCAAATAGGTTCAACATGTATATGCATTTTCAATGTGTATTTAAATAAAGTCAACGTGTATTTTAAAAATGCAAAAAAGGGAAAGGAATGAAAAACGTAAAATTCAATAATGAGACTGATGAAAACCAATAGAGAAAATAAACAGGCAATAAAAATGAAGTATACCAAGAAAACACCGAATAACAAAAAAGAAAAAATAACTCGAAAGGTTCTAAAACAAGTTTTGTTTTGAGAAACTGGTTCTAAAACAAGTCTGTACCAGTCAGTACTACCTTTCCAAATCCGGACCATTGGGCCCACCCACTAAGGTGGCCTCAGAGGCGAGCTCAGGTTATATCTTGCTGTACAGCGAGATATAGCTTTTTCTCAGTTGTACAGATCTATTTTTGAGCCATTTACTAGAAAACTAATTAAAAGGTTGCCTACTGTGAAACTTTAAACAAATGCTGACAAATGTTATTCCTTTTCAACATATTTTCAAGAATTTTAATAAATGCTTCCAAGTTTGAAAAAAAACAGTGGATTTTAAGAATGTTTGCAACTTTATAAAAATATATTATGTAATTAAAATAATTTTTTAGGATGTTTAAAATGCTTATCAAATTACAAATATTCCCCAATTAAAAATAATTTCTGAAAATTTTAAAATGGTCTCAAACTAAAAAAATCATGCTTTCTAAAAATAATATTAGCAAATTTAAAAAACATTCGTGAATTTGTGGGAAAAAAACACCACCTCAATGTTCTAGCATGCATGCCTCTTCAGTGAGTTCCAGTAGACCAAGATTGTCCCAAACCTCCCTTGCAACATTACATTCAGATAGCACATGCTTTATATCTTCATAATAGACCGAGCACATTGTACACAAATAGTTACTCGTTACAATATTCTCGTATGCTATGTATGTCATTTGGAGAAGCTTAAAAACATATTATACAATGAATTAGCTCTTAGCCTAACAAGCAACGTTTACACGCTCTTAAAATAATGCGATGGTTAAAATTAAACTAGAGAATATAAGAGATGACATCTAGTACATTGGTTAGAATTGTCGTATCTTCTTTTCTTGAGAGACCTTCTCTTAGGTAAGAGATGGCAATCCTTTTTTCCTCCATTCACTCTCGTTTAACTCATCAACGATCTTAGGTGACATTGCGAAGACAGGATCATTGTACACGACCTAAGGTAGCTAGCTCTATATGAGTGTGTCATGTGGGAGGGCTGATGCAGGATGCACTGATGACGGCCCACATGACTCGAAACGACAACAAATGTATCATTGGCAGTGCCAACGATACCTGTCATTGTTCGCACCGACATGTCGAAGTACTACCGGTGAAATATTATATTTTAGAAATTTATGTCATAAAAATAATATTTAAAATATTCCCCCAAATGACAGGTACTACCTTGCTTGTGTCCATCTAGTGGCCCCACAACCACCCGAAGTCAGAAGGGAGTACCTCGCTTTTGTACACCCCAGAGAGTGCCACCAAAGCATTAATGAGCCATAGAGAAAGACATTCATTTATTCATGTTAGATGAGCCCGAATTATTGTGTAACTGGCCCGTGCCTGGAGCCACCCACCCTATATGGATAGGAAATCATGGAATACCTTACTTTCCGTTCGGTTATCCAACCAAATGATACCATCAATGGGCCCTAGAGAAAGACATCGATATATTTGTGCAAGTCACCATTTTAGCATGGATTAATGTGCATGTGGTTCCGTGTCAGAAGATGCCCACCTCAGGCTTTCAAACAACCTAGTCGAAATGTGGAATTTTAAAGAGCCTAAAAGAAAGAGATGGATTTATTCGTGCTAGTCACTGTTTCTGTTTGGATTAATGCACATATTACCGGGAGCCATCCGCCTTAAATTGGCAGAAACCAGGGAGTATCTTGCTTCTGTCTAGTTGTCTAGCCGAATAGTACCATCAATCATTTGTTGTAGAGAAAGACATCAATTTATTTGTTCTAGTCACTACATAGCTGGCTAGATGCCAAGAATCGTCCCCTCAAATTGACAAGGAGTACATTACTTCCGCCTGGCTATCCAACCGAATAGTACCATAAATTATTAATGAGCCTTAGAGAAAGATAACGATTTATTCATGCTTGTCACCATTTTAGCTTGGATTAACGTGCCGATGGCTACATAGTGGGAGTCGCCCATTTCTAATTGGTAGGAAGAACCTCGCTTCTGTCCAGCTACCCAGCAGAAGAGTATCATCAAGTAATACTGAGCGATAGACAAAGCCATCAATTTATTCGTGCTAGTCACAATTTTAGCCTAGACATCAAACCAGTAGGAACCAAGGAGTACCTTGTGTCTATCTGGTTATCTTGGGGAACAATATTGCCGAGTATTAATGAACCCTAGAAAACATCAATTTTTTCATGCCAGTTGATATGTCCTATACGTAGCTATAATTTTTTTATTGTTTCATGCTATAATTATATCATGATGGCATAATATTGGCATCAAATTTTATATTTTCTTGATTAACCTATTAATACAGTGCAAAGTGCCAGTTGTTGTTTTTTGGATTTAAAAAAAATCAATTTTTCAGGGACCAAAAAACCAAGAAAAATACTAAGTTTCATGAAGAAATGAAGCCGGAGGGACCTGGACCCACCTGGACCCCCTAGGCCACATGCCACTGGTCGGCACTAGCATCCGAGGGGGAGCATGGCCGCCATAGATGTTGCCTCCATCGCCTCTATCTTCCGCTGCCTTTATATACTCTTGAAAACCTCACAAATATTAATAGAGGATTTTTGCACCGCCCACCTCTCTGCTCCATGAGATCCAATCAGGTACTCTGCCAAGGAGGAATTCATCACACAGATCATTTACATGAACATTGCTGCCACTGTGTTCATGTGTGAGTAGTCCTTTTTGTACCATTGGAACATAACTATTTTTTCCATTATAATATGGCATCAGCCCACATCCTAATAAGATGGCATCATCCCACGTCCTAATAAGTTGGATGAACCATTTTTCTTCTTATAATGGCAATGGTGGGTAATTATTTCACTCAAAACTAGTCTAATTGTTATAAAATTCCAGCCTATTAAATAGTTAGTCAGATGTTTTTGTTTTTAAGGGGTTTTCTAACATTTTTTATCTTTTTTCTCGGGAGCCCGTCGATTAATTTTAATATATAATAGATTGTCAGTCGGATGTTTTTAGTTTTGAGGGATTTTCTAGCATTTTTATCCTTTTCTGGTGAGCCCGTCAATTACTTTTAATATATAATATATTAGGTTGTGTTGGCTCCTTCCAAAAAAAAGCCTTGTACATATTGTTTTATGGGCCATAAAAAACTAGGGCCCAATATATACATGTGTAACCAATAAAAACACATCTTCCGTGGGAACTGGGCTTACCAAGGAGGCAGGTCGATGCTCAGAGTAACATATGTGTTATACCATGACTTACCAAATGTCTTGGTATTTTCTAGTTTCTCTTAGTGTATCATTCCTAGTTGCTATCTCAGTTTCTAAGTTAAGGCCCAAAGCAAGGTCCATGTTATACTGGCGTATTATGGATTAAAGGACGACCACTTCTAGATTAGATAGTTCATAGATAGTACAGGATATGGATGTAATAAATGGGATCGTTGATATATTAGGACGTAATCAATGTGATCAACAAAGGATTTGGACACAATTAACAACCAAACAAATTTGACCACAATTATTTTGTATATTAGAGTAAAACTTAGTTGGGTTTAACTCCCATTTAATACTTCTTGATAAGGATATGGATGTAGTCAAATGGCAATCATTTAATATTTCAATTTTTGTAAGTGTTAATAGTTCTATATATGGATGTGGATACTTACATCATAAGAAAGACATATCAGTGGTTGCAAAGAAGGATGTCAATGCATTCACATATGTATATTTGGACGAGAGTTAATAGTATCCATAAACTAGCACCTTTTATGAGTTATGTATGTTAATTCTTACTAAATATTTACATAATCTTAGCATAGTCAAATAGCACTCCCATACAACCCTTTTATTCTATATAAGGGGAGTACATCTTCTCATTTCCTACACCAATATGCTGTTAGCCAATAGTACCTGTAAATCTCTAGTTTTCTGTAGATACTTGTGCTTCCTATTTGTAGTAGTAAGTTTCTTCCTCTTTGTCCACAATAGTATGCCGAGGAAAGAGAGGCGGTCAGGTGTGGCATACATCCAGAATGACAAAGACCGTGATCTCACCTTCTACAAGCGACGTTCCGGTTTGTTCAAGAGGGCGTCTGACATCTCTGCCCTCACTAGGGCTAGGGTTGTAGTCGTCCTAGAGACAAAGAATGGAAAGATGCACTCATCTGGGACGCCATTGGCCGATCCCATTGTTGATGCTTTCCTATTTGGAGCTCCACCAACTGTTCCCTCCACCAATGAGGCAACCACTGCTAGGATTGGAAGCCTACAAAACGAGGTGGCTCAGTTGGACATGGAGAACATGACCGAGGAAGACCGAAAGAAACTTTCCATCCTTCGTATGAAAAGTATCCAAGAAGAGAATCCAAGTATGGTGGCAAATCTTATCTTCACGAAGGAACAAGATCTCGGTCTTGAAGCTCTAAATAAGCTCTTCAGTGAGCTCTCTCAGGTCCAAAAAGACATTAGATGCCGGCTACCTGCATTGCATGGTCGTGAAGCCAAGACCAGTGGCACATGTGTAGCACAAGATCTGCAAGTACCAAGTGTTCTGCCGACAGATCATTTGGGTACTACTCATTCACTAATGCAGCCATCGTGGCCTCACAATCTCTCACAACTCCAGCCACCTGCAGATCCACTACCATCACAACCAGAACAAACTTCGGTACCACTTTTTCCTATGCAGGTACCACAAATGTTTGACTTTGCGCCACCATCTTTAGCTCCACACTTGGCTTCCCATGTCCAACCCATACCAAATCAGGTACATGAGCAAACTCAATCCGAGGAGTTGCATGTTCAGAACTATGAAAGTCCTTGCAACATAGTATAGCCACAACAAAGTGATGCAAACCACGACTCAACGTCAGGGCATAATTTGGAGGCCTCTCCACTATTTGGGTACTCGAGTGGCAATGCTTTTTCTATTGATGACCCATTTAACACTGAACAATGGGGTCATGCTCTATCAGATCAGTCGTTCTACAATAGTTTCCTAGGGATGGATGATTACTTAGGCTCTAGCGGTACTGATCTAGGATAGTCTTCCATGGTAAATGGTGGATGGGTTGATGTGCCGCCCTCTTCTACTGGACAAGATATTGATGGTCTTATAGACTATTGAGAGCTTTTGTAGATGCTATTTAGCGCTTACATTTAAGAGCTAAATTGAAATAAAATATATTTGTTTCCAAATTCATTATCCTTTGGACTATTTTCTTAATTAGGATCTTTGGGAAAAATATGCATGCTAAGTGTTCCAGGTCTTGGTCCATGATGTGTTTTCATCAATACCTACAATTTTGTTTTTTATTGTTGTTTAGATTATTTTCATCTTACGAATGAAGGAAGTGGAACATGTATTTCAACAATGCGCCTTTTATAATATTGCGAGGCAAACATTAGCGTGTCAACTAAAAACAGAAGCCATGCTCATTAAATAAATAAATTAAAAGATAGAAAACAAATCCAAACTTCAACTCAAGAGACTAGAATCCATTACTTCTGATTGCATAACACTACCAAGAACAACAACTGCACCTCATATTAATTAATAAATATGAGAAATCATGGTTTTCTTAATAGACGTGAATAGACCGTTGGCCAGCGACGGTGATCGGAGATATTTATGGTTGGGATTGTTTACCGTTTGGCACCTTTCCAAAAGAGCTAAAAATTAGATGATTTGTTTCCATCTAACCCAGATATAAATTGATACATATCTACTGTTGGGAATGGGACGTTCCGTTAACAGCATCTACAGCCGGGACTTGGCAAATCCAATCCATCAAACGCCCGGACACGTCAATTACCATATCTCAAATCCATACAAACTCATGCAACTACGTCGATGCACATACATCGTCCGACTACTCCATCACACTACACTATACATGCCATCGGACTAGCAAAATTTGGCATGTCTATGGTGGAGCTTACCCACGACTGCCCTTGCCCTTCCCGACGCCTTTGCTGTCCTCGCGGAAGTACCGGTCGAAAAAGCAGTACAGATCGAGCTGGATCTGCTCGTCGCTGGTGCTGACCTCGCTGTCTTCTTCGGTGGTAGTCCGGCCATGGCACGGACCGACCGTTTCTTCTCTCGGGCGAGGGCGCGCGTGTTCCTCCGCAGCCGTTTCTTCACAATGCGGGTGCGGATGGCTTCTCCTCTGCGGCCGCCTGCGCCGCCGTATCAGCCGCCTCCACTGCCGCCATTTTCGCCGCGATACGGGACTCGGCGGCCCTTATCCTCTCCTTCCCACAGCGGGCCGCCCATTACCGCTGGGACTCATAGTCTCCCCGGCCGGTGATGAGGAAGGAGAGGTGTTCCGGCTGCCGGGACCACAAGGATCCAGCACCAGAGGACCCGAGCGCCCGGTGAGCTGACGCTAAGGCGTCGCGGCGCACGGATGGACCCGTCCGCCGGCCAGGCACTATCATTGTCAGCGGCGGAGTGCAATGCGGACTGCCATTGCCTCTTCCAACCCACACGGGATGACACTCCGGTCGACGAATCCAGACTGGCCGGAGTCTGATCCGCTGCCTGCCATGGCGGAGAAGGCCGGAAACCACCGGAGGTGAGCTGGGGTGGCAGAGGGGAGTGGAGTGAAGTGGCTAGGGTTTGCTCTGGCGAGAGGATGGGGACGAATATAAGTAGGGTCGGGTGGGCCAGCATGGGCCGGGTTCAACGTGGTAGGCGTGCCCGGGTGTCCCATATTTGGCCTGGATATGGTGGATGCCGATCAGCCCGGGTGTTTGAGGCCCGTTTGAGTCGTCTATCTGGATCGAAAAAACGTGACCAGTCAGTGAACAAGCGGCCCGCCTCGCGCATGAAAGATCGTGGATGTCGCCTAGAGGGGGGGGGGTGAATAGGTGTTTTAAAATAATTACGGTTTAGGCTTGAACAAATGCAGAATAAACCTAGCGGTTAATTTGTCAAGCACAAAACCTAAAACAACTAGGCTCACCTATGTGCACCAACAACTTAAGCTAAGCAAGATAAGCAACTATGTGATAGCAAGATATATGACAAGAAACAATATGACTATCACAAAGCAAAGTGCATAAGTAAAAGGGCTCGGGTAAGAGATAACCGAGGCACGCGGAGACGATGATGTATCCCGAAGTTCACACCCTTGCGGATGCTAATCTCCGTTTGGAGCGGTGTGGAGGCACAATGCTCCCCAAGAAGCCAGTAGGGCCACCGTAATCTCCTCACACCCTCGCACAATGCAAGATGCCATGATTCCACTAAGGGACCCTTGAGAACAGTCACCGAACCCGTACAAATGGCAACCCTTATGGGCGGTTACCGAACCCGTACACTTTGGCAACCCTTGGGGGCGGTCACCGAAACCCGTCAAATTACTCGGGGCGATCTCCACAACCTAATTGGAGATGACGACGCTTGCCCGAAGCTTTACACCACAATGATTGAGCTCTGAACACCACAAAGGTTGGGGTTAACTCCCCAACGACACCACGAAGCTTCACCACAATGGAATATGGCTCCGAGGTGACCTCAACCGTCTAGGACGCCCAAGCACCCAAGAGGAACAAGCTCTAGGGTCCCAAGCACCCAAGAGTAATAAGCTTCTCAACTTGTAACTTCCACGTATCACCATGGAGAACTCAAACCGATGCACCAAATGCAATGGCAAGGGCACACAGAGTGCCCAAGTCCTTCTCTCCCAAATCCCACCGAAGCAACAAATGCTAGGGAGGAAAATGAGAGGAAGAACAAAGAAGAGAACACGATGAACTCCAAGATCTAGATCCAAGGGTTTCCCCTCACATAGAGGAGAAAGTGATTGGTGGAAATGTGGATCTAGATCTCCTCTCTCTTTTCCCTAAAAAACTAGCAAGAATCCATGGAGGGATTGAGAGTTAGCAAGCTCGAAGAAGGTCAACAATGAGGGAAGAACGCGAGCTCAAAGGATAAGATTGAATGGGGAAGAAGACCCTCTTTTATAGGAGCTCCCGAATCCAACCGTTATGTGCTCAGTCCGCGCACGAGCGATACTACCGCTAAGGGGGGCGGTACTACCGCCCGGGCGATAGAACACGGAGAGCGGAGCGAAACAGAGTGCGAGGCAGAGCCGTATGAGCGGCACTACCGCTGGAGCCAGCGGTACTACCGGTGGCCGCAGCGGTACTGCCGCTTGGCCCAGCGATACTACCGCTGGGACCGCGCATATCGCCTACCATGAGCACAGGGAGAAGGAATAGGGAGGAGGGCCATTGAGCGGCACTAGGGGCGGTGGTAGCCGCGGTACTACCGCACATGAGCGGTACTACTGCTCCTACTGCCGCCGAACCTGACACGAGAAAACCACGTCTCGAGTCGAGGCGGTACCAGCGCGGATCCGGAGCCGAACTATCGCTTATGGCCATGGGCGGTACTACCGCTGTGGGACAGCGGTACTACCGCTTGTGGCGATACGCTGTACTGCCGCTCCGGCCCAGCGGTACTACCGTTGGCGCCATCCTACAGCCACTTCCACGAAAACAAGAATACTCCACGGAAAACCAGAACTGCCATAACTTCTGCATATGAGTTCCGAATTGAGCAAACTTAAGCTTGTTGGAAACAAGATGACGAGTAGCATCAAAACATCAACTGGTTATAGTAAGAAGAGGCAGGGGAGGTATGCCTAACAAATAGAGGAGTGAAACCTCCAACTGAGAAGAACCGGCAAAACCTCCAACATCGAAAACATCATAGAAAATGCATGTCAACTCCGTTTTCGATGAACTTGAGATTGTCAGTAAGATGACCATAAGCTCCAAAACTGTCAAAGAGAAGAACCAAACAAGAACCAAAAAAGATAATGCAAGGATGCAATGGTTTGAGCTCTCTACGAACGATACGATCAAGCTACTCATCGAGAGCCCCCCTTGATAGTATGGCAATCGATCCTATAACCCGGTCTCCCAACTACCACTATGAGACCGGTAAAACAGAAAACCTATCAAGGGAAAACCTTTGTCTTGCACATGGTCCACTTGAGCTAGATGATGACGATCTTGACTTCCTCAAGTTGGATCACCTTTCTTGATTGCGTTGGCTTGATGAAGACTAGTAGATTGCTCCCCCATACTCCATTATGGGTGAGCAACTCTTCCGCACATCTTCACAAGTCCATTGTCACCACAATGGACGGCAAGCTTCAAGACTTGATCTCTTCGTGATGCATCACTTGAACTTGCACACGGCAACCTAACCCCACATCGAACTCTCACGAAGACCATGGGTTAGTACACAAAGCGTAATTGACAATGCTTACCATACCATGGGATCACTTGATCCCTCAGTACATCTTGTATGCTTTGTGTGTTGATCAACTTGATTCATTCTTGACTTAATCTTGATCAACTTTGAATCTTTTCAATTCTCTTCATTTGGATGATGTCTTGAAGGTAGACATGAATGATCACACAATCTTCTTCTTCAAGACATGCTTGCAATAAGCTCAACACTCACATGACCAATCTTTGGATAATTCCTTGAATAGCACCTTGGTCGACACCAACTGTCCTTGAAACCAACACATGTACTCCAAGAAAAGCCAATGGACAAAACCTTCAAATATAACTCAAGGCAACCATTAGTCCATAGAGATTGTCATCAATTACCAAAACCAAACATGGGGGCACCGCATGTTCTTTCAGCGCGTATGAGGCGGGTTTGAGAGGTCCGGCTGTAGATGCTCTAACTACTCCAATTTGTTGGTCAACCCTTTATACCATAGTTTTAAACCAGTGAAGTTGTCGGTTCAAGTTTTCATCGATTGATTTGACCGTCGGTTCACCAGTTTGTCATCCGTTTTTTTAAGG